AAAAAAAAAAAAAAAAAAAAAAAAAAAAATGTTACTTGCTTATTTTGGATTTACAGTCCTATTACTCTTTAAATTTCATCGTAAATAAATTATTTAGGTAAATTTGTTGAGTTTTAAGTCAAATTTCGGTTAGTCATCTATATATTGTACATAACAAGAGAGTGCCAGTGATAGCCTAGAGTCCATGGTGGCCGGTGTTTTCGTTGAGTAGTTGGCTCGATGCCACTGAAACCCCATCGTGTAGCTCGACTGATGCACATTAAATCTATCAAGGTTCCGTGCCCTAGTGTTGGTGGGGTGTGGAAGTTTGGAGATAGAGGTGCTAGCTCAGGTGTCGTCCTCGTCACTTGTCCGAAGTCTGAAATTACTTGATCCGTCTCAGTGCAACTTTAATAAGAAATCGTAATCCCACAACAAATGGCATCAATATGATTCGCAATGTGATGTAATTTCAAAATGCTTTTACAAAAAAAATTAGGCACCTGTTTTCGATTTAAATTTCCTTATTGTCCTTAAGTGCTGATCATAAATTAATTATTTCCGAGTAAATTTCTCGAGTTGAAAGTCAAATTTCAGTTAGTTATATACATAACAAAGATTATGCATGCGGTTAGATTTCAGACAATTAAGATTTTTGTTTCGTGATCCCTACTTCTTAGAAGTTAGGTCTACAAAAACATGTGCTCTCATCTAAAATTCGCTATTGTAAACAACAGACTAGACATTTCCGTAACCGGATACTGTCAGAAACCGAACACAAAAAAGGCTAATGAATTTATCATTTATATTTCCTTTTTTGCTTATTTGTATATATCTTCGCATACATATTTTCAATAAAAATGACCCCGGTTCTGAACTTTCCAAATGGGACACGCGCGACAGAATGAGGTATATTTACAGACAAATGAGTAAATATAATTAATATTCCAGCAAAGATTTCCAGAACCTCATCACAACAACAAGAATTCTTTTTTAAAACCAGTAAGGGACATTTCTGTTTTTCTGCATCATAGGTCACTGGAAGGTTTTGGTGTCACCCGTCCTATTCCACAAAATGCATGGGAGATGTTCACATAATGAGGCTTAGTTACCAACCACTTGGTGCAGAAATGAAGAGCGGTTCGGGAGACGTGATTGGAGTAGTGTTATCATTCTTCTTACACTTTGAGATGGCAGACTGAAAAGCACAGTATGGGGTAAGGGGCTTGGCATATAGAAAGATCGTTTGGATGACCTTGGACTAGTCACAGAGAAAGCCAGTTGGAAGGATTAAAACTTCTTTTTTTTTTTTACCTCGTTCGGTAAACGAGAGGGACCGAGGTGGTGATGTGGAATATAATTTTCAGGTTAAGTATAGAGGTGGTGCCATTCGAGGTCGAAGTTTATTTTTCGGTTCTCTCTTCTTTGTAAGAAATGCTATTTCAAAAATTGGAGGGCTTAAAAAAAATTTTTTTTTTTTTGGATAACAGTTACAGAAAAATAGTGCAATGCAGTAAAATCTCGGTTAGCCGAATTAACTAAGACTAGAGTCGATCCAGAATATGGCTGGAAAAAATTAAATTAAAAAAAATTTACTTACTGATAATCTTTATAATGCGCTAAACGTATATCGAATATGAATCTTATTTACAAAAGATAAAGACGTCTATATTGTTAACAATTAAAGTGAACTTGAAGGTTTTTTTTTTTTTTTTTTTTTTTTGCATTTTTCATTTAGACATTGTAGCACCGTTTGTCGACAAAGATAAGAGATTTAACTGAGGTTTTGTTGACTTTGCACAAAATACTTCTGCAGTTCCCTTCTCTCCACTTTTCTTTTATACATACGAGGGGGATTCAAAAAGTACTTGCATTTGAAGACAGGTGGCATCATTAAAATAAATTATTGTTTCCATTGAGTGCTGCCATCTATTAAACAGAGCCGGAACAAATTTTACATTGATTTATTTCCTAGTTTTGATTTGATAGTTATTTGCTGCCAAATCAAAATTTGATTGTTGCCGTGTCCAGTTGTTGACGACGGTGAGGCCTGGATTCATCATTATGCACCGGAAATCAAGCGTAAATCAAAACTCTGGGTTGCTTCTGGTGAATATTTTTTAGAAATGGCGAACATGGTGTCACCGCCCAGAAAAGTAATGAAGAAGAATTTTTGAGGTGCGAAAGGCGTCAAGATCACGAACACGATAACTGAGACTTTGACATCTGTTTAGTGAGTCATGATGCTTACTAAAAACAAATGATTTTCCCGACGCCCTCTCTTGGAATTTCCGAGGACTTATTGGACGACTCTCGTACATAGCTGTTAGAAGATTTCTAAATATAAAATAATTTTTCTGAATATAAAATAATAAAGAATAATGTAAAGAGAATGAAACGAATAAATGTTGATATGCAAATTAGAAGATTGATTCTAAAATTAAAAAAAAAACTTCGTGCAGACTAATTTGGGTTACCCGGAAACACAATTTAATGAGGCTGTATTCTAATTTTTAAGAATCGAAATGCATTTTAAATTGTCTAATACTAATTGAAGTAATAGTAAGGCAATACATGATTTTGAAATTAAGCAGTAGTGAAACTAGTTTGGAAATGAAATGGGTCGCGCTCAGAATTCAATATGGCAATCATCAAGTAATCCATTGTTCCTTGAAGTATTCCATTGTTGCAAAATATATGTATAATGTGTTATAGATCGGAATCCATTTTGAAGTTTTTCAAAAATTATTGCATTACAAGTTTTCCAGTTATGTATAGAAAAGCAAAACATCCAACCATTAGCATTAAATGAAAACTGTTAAAATGCTAAAGTTCTAAAAAGTTTTATGAAATTTGTATTAAGAAATAAATTATGTAAACTAAATTTAAATTTCTAACAATTCAAAACAATAATGTAAAGATTAATTAATATGATGAATTAATGCAAAAATTGATTAAGTTACCAAATAGTTCCTGAACAACTAATATGTCTGGTTGCATTTTAAATTATACGAAAACACCTTTATTCGAAATGATTGAAAAGAAAAAGAATAATGTTTCACATTACATAAAAGAAATTAAAGTGATATTGGCAGTGATTTTAAACATTTTGAAGAAAACTTTTTTCTTTATGTGAGCAGTTAGAAACAAACAATCTTGAGGTCAAATAACGCCATCTTGAATAGAATTGTCATCACTTTTGAGTTATCAATAGCAGAATGATAATTGTTTTTTAATTAGTTATATCAACAGATTTGTTAAAAAATTTATTTTTTTTTTGCTTTTATAAGACTTATGAGGGGAAAAAACATACAGAGTAGGTTTTAAAAATATGTTTACATATTGCATATCAACTCTTTCATCAACAGTTCTATTGTACATATTTATTATTAAACAAATATTTTTAACATTCCCAGTTCTTAAATTTTTCTAAACTATAGAGTTAAGAATTTTTTATATAGTTATATGTCACTCAGATATATTAATATTTAAACGCATCACTAAATTGTCTGTTTTCTGTAATGAACATACTTTTTTTTACAATTTTAATCAATAATAACTAATGCATTTTATTAAGAAAATAGTTATATATACTCCTTTTATCACAGAGTTTTTACAATGGATCAAAATACAGAGTAAAGTTAAAATTAATAAGTTTAAAGACTTCAAAAGTTTTTTTTTTTTTTTTAATTTCCTGCTTGTAAGCATTTCCTTACTTTAATTATTTCTTTGAGATTGCTCAGTGAAACTTAATTGCATATAATTCATACACAAATCTGGAAATTTGAGAGTATTAATCCTCTTAGAAGCAAAAATGAGGATGCCTAGTTTTTCAAAGTATTTCAAAGAAATATATAAACTTAAAAAAAAAAACTGCTGTCTGCATTTCTCTGCGGCTATGTTTAAATATATAGTTTGTAACATGTATCTAGTTTTGCGTCACCAGTAATGGTATTTTAAGGAAATAATTTCTTTTTTTTTTTTGTCTAAATAGTTTTAAATACTTTAATTTCTTAAAACACATTTATGTGCATATTTTCAAAGTATCGCTAAATATATAAAGATACAACGAAGTAAAATAATTAGGCCAACAATAGAAGTTAGAAAATATAATTATTCTAAAATATTAATCAAATATAATATTGTAAACATTTAACTGGAAAAATATAACAACATAAAAATTAAAGTGTTATATAAAGTTGAAGAAGATAGTTTGATGTATAATACTTGAAAAATGCAACTATTAACTTCAAAAAGAATAATAATGATCCTTCGTGTTCTTTAAAATATTATTCTGTCATTAGTTTTTGATTTATTGATTGTTTATTAACATCACACTTAGAAGCTACAAGAGTGCTATTGGTGACGGACTTCGTAATTTTGAATATTAGTCAAGTGACGAGATACAACTTCCCTCCTCAAGCTTTCACACCTTACTAACGGGAAGATTTGAGATCTCGACCAGATTTAACGTGCATTAGCCCCGCTATACGTCAGGTCTTTAGTGGCAGCAGGGTTCGAACCCGCAACTCTACGAAAACAATGCCAGTCATGAGTTCGCAACCATGACCACTAGGCTACCGTTACCACATTAGTTTTTCTGAGAAAAATTCCCTCTCCGTATTTGCAAATGATGTTAAGGAAAGTATTTAGCAAATTATAAAGCAAAGTAATAAAATATTTATAAAAGCTTTATTACTTACAATTTCTTCGTCCGAAAATATGGTAGGGAATTTTGCTTCAATCTTGTAGCCATCAACTAGAATACTTCAACACAGCCCAATAAATTTTCTATCAAACACATAAACACAAATCACGTTACAGACATAAATCAGACGATACACTATTGGGCAGTGGTGGCAATTAGAAAATTTGGCAACCATCTCCTACTTTTTGGGGGGAAAACTAATTTTTTTTCCAATTTAACCCTCCTAAAACTAAAAATTATAAGAAAAACATCAGTATAAACTCTTTTGCCTTATGATATAATTATAATTTCGTTCGTTTCTTGCGGAAATATACACAAAAGGTAATGCCATGCATCGAGGCATGATTGTTTAACTCCTGCGTCGCGGCTAACAGTTTCATGAGGCACAACAGCAAATAGAGGAGATTGGCGCTACAGGTGTAATATATGATGAGAGGAAGGATAGCCAAATTGATTGAATGTATAGAAGTGTACGCAAGTCGATAACGAAGAGATTTAACGTTACTTTAAAACAGTGGTACTAAACATACGACTCTGAAAAACTTAATTTACATCGTTGTATATCTTTCTTTCTAAAATATAATCAATTTCATAGATTTGAACACCTAATTAAGTACTATTTAGCACAAACAGTATATAAGAGTGTTTTTTCCCCCTAGCATATTTTGTAGTGCAATGGGGTATAAAACAAGGCTTTGAGTAAACTCACTGGTTGATTTTGGCAAATTATCATTTTTTGGTGTGCATTTTAAACAAGACATTCTTTTTTTAAAATGAAAATTGGCGAATTCTAGAATTACTTCTATTTAATTATAACAATTGTGTAATAATGTTCCTTTGATGAAAGTTATATTGTATATAATTAATGAAAAAATTTCAAAAAAAACCCAATTAAACACTAGTATTAAAACTAAACCTCAATGAAGTTGAAATAAAATTCCAACTTTTATTTCTCTGTCCAAAGTTACTCAGAAAGCTTCGGAAACTTACCATTTTGTAAATTAAATTTTTAAGTTTCGTGTAGGTGTCTAACCTCCCTCCCCCACTCTTATACTCCCCGTTGTTTTTGTTGTCCACAGATGTTTTTGCCCTCTACTTCTGATTTCCAGTCACTACTACCACACTAATGCCTTATGTCATTCACGCGACCTGTTAAATAATGTCGAAAAAGGCTTCTGGGTGAGAGACAAGCATTTTAGAGTCGCAGAGAGGATGAATCACTGTCTGTTGGGTATGTAGAACAAATACGTGCTTCAAAATCAGAAAGGAAAAAAAAATGTTGTGCTGTTCAGTTACATGTATTGGAACTTATTGAATAATGCTCTGTGTTATGGGAGAGCGATGTAATAGTTACATGCATAATAATAATAGTTGAACCTCAGATACGTCGTCAACCTTGGCTACCATGGAAGAGAGAGAATTTTCTTGCCAGATTTATATTCATTAGTTCGCCAGATTACTGAACTTTTGGATGAGACTTCTAGATATTTTAACAGACACCAAATATTTTGAATGCCTTATGTTTGAATAATCCTTGCAGAGGTTGAGCAGATTTTAAGAGGGTGGAATTACATAAAATCCAAAGATAAGATTGGTGTATCAAATAAAGAAACTCTTTCCTATGATAGTTAAATTTTATGAAAAATTAGAGAATGCACAGAGTATATTTAGAATTGAAATTACACACACAAGCACACACATAATATATATGTATATATATATATTCATTTTATTTACGCAATCTTGCAGGATTCGTAAAATCTAAAACGACGATACACAATCGATTTCAAACCTTTTATAATATCTTTTCTCTTGCCACCCCCTCTATTTTTCATGGAAAATTCCTTTTTATATATTATGATAGTAAAAAGTAATGGTATTGACATAGTAAGAATTTATTCTACTTATTTTGTAGTAGAATTTTACGCTAAAACTTTCTGTATGGATTATCAATCATTATTTAAATTATTATTCATTGCCATTATTCTATCTTTCGGAATATTTGCATAATTTTGCGATAATATGTTGCCTTATAAAATTTTGTTTTGTAATTTAGGATTAACTTTCAGTTCATTGCCACCAAATTAAAATGAAGAGATTATTTACGTATTTTCTAAAATATTACGAAAAACACACACACACAATGAACTGTATGCCAAACGTATAAGGCAATAAAAGCTTTTTATCAAGGTATGCATAAGGATTTTTCTTTCTATTCCTAACGATAATTTCTTTTTCTTATTCTAGAAAAATACTCAACCTTATCTTAAAAAGAAATGATAAAAACTACTTCACATATAAAAGTGGAACATATATTGAAAGTTATTAATATTAGGCTCTTTTTGTATTCTCTTCCAACAAGGAAAAATATGGCTTCAAAGTCTCTCTATGAAAATAAAATTCTTAAATGTTATAATGAGTGCTTCATTATGATATTTTTAATGGGATATATAAGTTATCTTTGTTTAGGAGTTTTTAAATAATTTTTGAGTGGCATAGTAGCATATGTCACAAAAGTTTTAATACTTTTTGTTCTTTTTCTTACCGGACAAGAGGAAATGAACTCATGAACTAATATGTTCAGCTAATGTTTAATATTCCTAAGTAGAAAATTTTAATGAAAACGTGAATAAGCACGATATTTTTAAACATAGATTTGTTTTTGGAGGTATTTCTGACTCAGCTAACTTGTACGTTCAATGCGTTTAGATACATAAGTTTGAAATATAATAAAATTATGAATAGAATACAAGTATACTTTTCACGATATAAATTTATTTTTGATGTATTGGTAATTTTTCATTTTCTTGTGTCTATTACTCTTAAAATGTAAACTCTATATCCTTTATTAAATAAAATAATAAAATTTAAAAACGTTAATAACAATAATGCTAGTTACCTACGACTTATAGTAATGTAAAATGCATGATCGACAAATGCAATTTATCTAATGATAAAAATGATTTTCAAAACTTTTGGAATGTTTTGTCGAGGAAACTAAATATTTATGCGATGAAAAGTTCAGTTAAGTACATTACTAGAAGTGTTACTAAAAATTTGACTTTTTCCATAAAAATATGCATTTTTCTACGATGAAATTCTCTAGTGAAAGATAACGTATTATTAAGAGACTTTAACATAATTTCATGACGGATAAGCAAGAAGTTAAAAGGATATTAAATTTATGCAATAATTATAAATTTGATAAAAGAAAAAGGAAAGAATTTTCATCACATTAAGATGAAAACTAGGACATATAGAGGAAAGTTAGAATTATACTATTTAAATATTGTTTTGAAGAAGAAGCTGCAAATTATAAATGAAAATATTCAAAAAATTAATTTCTTAATAATCAATTGTTAGGTTTTATTTAAAATATTTCATGATGACAATTTTGAACCTATATTCCTATTTAGAACATTTCAGTCGATTTCTATGTCTATTTTGGAACATTTGCTTTTATTCTTCTACTTTCAAAAAG